AAAGAATAAACCGATCTGTGTTGGAAAAAGTACAGACAGCATGCTCCTTGGAAGCCAGGATGGCCAGACTTCGTCTCTCATACTTGGGACATATTGTCAGGAAGGACCAGTCACTGGAGAAGGAAATCATGTTTGATAAAGTGGGGGTTAAGAGAAAAAGAGGAAGAGCCCCAACGAGATGGATTGGCACATTCACAGCAGCAATGGGCTCAGGTGGAGCAAAGATTGTGAGGTTGGCACAAGACCGGGCAGTGTTTCCTTCTGTCATGCACAGGGTTGTTATGAGTCGGTATCGACTCACTAGCAATTCACAACAATAACAACTGCAACATAAATATTCCAAAGGATTCACCTGTACTGCAGCATCAACTTCATGAATATCCTTTTTCTTTCTTTTACTGTTGATTTGATATTCATGCTCCATGTTTTTGTACACTGTTTTTCTGCCTGGATTGCTTTGCTTCCACTTCCCAGAATAAACATCATGTCCTACACAAAAGCTTATCTGCCTTCCTCAGAGAGACTTAGGGCCCTTCTCAATGCTACTGTTTTACTCTGACCTTATTTCTATTTTTCACACCACATGAAAATATCTGTTTATAACACTGCTCCCCTCTTCAGAATGCGAGCTTCTCAAGGTTGGTCATCTCTGTACTGTTTGCTATGATAAGAATAAGCAGTGGATAAATCTCTATTTAATACTTTATGAATAAATAACACTTGATTTAATCATGGTAGTATTATAATGAAATGCGCAAAGACCTGGAGTTAGAAAATCAAAAGGGAAGAACACATTCAGTATTTCTCAAGCTGAAAGAACTGGAAAAAAAAAAAAAATCCAAGCTTTGATTTACGATATTGAAGGATTTTATGTCTTAGGTGATGCTATAGGATAAGCAATGGGCTGCTAACTGTGAGGCTGGCAGTTCAAACATACCAACTGCACCTCAGAATCCTATACAGGTTGATGTTGAGTTGGAATTGACTTAACAGCCCTTAACAACAACAGCAATGAGCAAACTATTGAACATAGCAGGAAGCATCACAAGAAGATAGAAGGAACACAGAGTCACTGGGCCAAAAAGAATTGGTCGTTGTTCAGTCATTTCAGGAAGTAGCATATGTCAAGAACTGATTGAAGGAAGATGTCCAAGCTGCACTGAAGGCACTAGCTAAATAACAAGGCTCCAGGAGTTGACAGAATATTAACTGAAATGTTTTCATAAACTGATGCGGCTCTGGAAGCATTCAGTAGTCTATCCTAGAAATTTGGAAAACAGCTACTTGGCCAACTGACTGGAAAAATCCATATCTGTGCCCATTCCAAAGGACGGTGAGTCAACAGAAGATGAAAATTATCAAACAATGTCATTAATATGACACAAAAGAAAAGTTTTGCTGAAGATAATTTAAAAATGGCCAGAAATTCAGGCCGATTCAGAAGAGGATGCAGGATGAGGGATAGCATTGCTGATGTCAGATGGATCATGGTTGAAAGTGGAGAATACCAAAAGGAAATTTACTTGTGTTTTATTGATTATGCAAAGTGATTCATCTGTGTAGATCATAACAAACTATGGACAGCATTGTAAAGGATGGGAATTCCGGAACACTTAATTGTCTTCATGTGGAACCTGTACTTAGACCAAGAAACAGTCATTTAAGGAGAACTAGGAGACATTGCCTGGTTTAAATTCAGCAAAGGCATGCATCAGCGTTGTATGTTTTCATTGGACTTATTCAATCTGTATGCTGAACAAATAAACCGAGAAGGTGGATTACATGAAGACGAACTCATCATCAGGATTGGAGGATGACTCATTAACAACCTGTGATATGCAGACAACACAAACTTGCTTGTTGAAAGGGAAGAGGACTTGAAGCACTTGCTGATGAAGATCAAAGACCACTGCTTTCTGAATGAATTACAACTCAACGCAAAGAAAACAAAAAGCCTCACAACTGGACCAATGAACAACATCATAAAAATGGGGAAAAGATTAAACTTGTCAAGGGTCTCCTTTTACTTGGCTCCACCATCAATGCTCATGAAAGCAGTAATCAAGAAATCAAAATATGTATTGCATTGGACAAATGTGCTGCAAAAGACTTTTTAAAGTGTTCAAGAACAAAGATATCACTTTGAGGACTAAGATGCATCTGACCCAAGCTAAGGTGCTTTCAATGCATGTCAAAGACAGACAACAAATAAAGAAGACTGGAGAAGAATTGATGCATTTGCATTACATTGTTGGTGAAGAATACTGCAAATACCAAGAACTTCCAAAACAAATAAATCTGTCTTGGAAGTAGTAAAGCCAGAATGCTCCTTAGAAGTGAAGGTGGTGAAACTTAGTCACTGGAGAAGGACATCATGTTGGGTAAAGTAGATGGTAAAGAAGAAGACCCCTAAAGAGACAGACTGACACAGTGGCTTTAACAATAGGCTCAAACAGAACAATTGAGGATGGCACATGTTTGGGCAGTGTTTTGTTCAATTGTGCATAGTTTTTCTATGAGCCAGAGCTGACTCGATGGCATCTAACAACAACACATCATGGTAGTATTATGTTTGAGCAAGGAGAAGGACTACACCATATAAATGTCCTTGGGTCATACATAGCATGTGCTGGATTGTTGACTCAGTCAGTAGTTCAGTACAATCTTTCCCTTCTGTAGTCCTTTCTAGCTCAGGCTCTGGACACCTGGAAACTATGTCTCGTAGCACTCTTACCCTCATATATCCCAGATATCCCTTCTGGGATATATGAGGGTAACCAAAAAAATATCACTACAAAATCATGTTGTTGTGGTTAAGTGCCATTGAGTTGGTTCTTACTCACAGCAACCCTGTATAGAATTTCCGTGGTGTGGTTGGTGGGCTTGAACTGAGGACCTAGTGTTTAGCCATCCAGTGCTTATCCTACAGCATCAGACCAGGATGTAGAACAAAATCATAAAAAATGTCAAAATTTGAAGCCACTGTTTCTCAACATATCCTCCATCTAGGTCTATGCATTTCTGAAGGTCATGCTTCCCTCTTTCTAACCCTTCCCGTACACAATTCTGGGTTTTTAGATTTATACCATGTCCAAATGGTAATTTAGGCATCCTTAAGGGACTCAAATCATGTTCCTTTGAAATATTCTTTGAGTTTATGGAACAAATAGAAGTCTGAAGGGGCTCGATCAGGGCTGTATGGTAGAAGCAGCAAGGCTCCCAATGAAATTCTCATAGGCCAGCCCTTGCAACCTTGAAGAATGAGCAGGTACAATGATATGATGGGAAAAAGTTACTCAGTGCAACTTTTCTGGCCTTTTTTTTTTCACCAATGCAGTTTCAATTTTCTTAAAGCTTCATTATAAGAACCCATGATTGTCCTGGGTGTTTTGAGACAATCTCTCAAGATTAGCCATTTGGGTCACCCAAAGCAGACACCATCACCTTCTGAACTAGCTTCTCTTCTTTGAATTCATCTTTGCGGTTCTCCCAACCTTCTGTAGGATACTTGTTCCATTCTAAAACTGTTGTTTTATGTGGGGCAGCATTCCTGTAAGCTGGTTGTAAAGCTTCAGTGATTTGGGAAGAAGCTCATGTGAGTTTTGTTAAAAATTTGATTCTAGCCCTGACCTCAAAATAGGTTCTTTCCCATGGCTCAAAAGCTTCCTTTTTTAATAAAGGCTCCCTAATTAGGCTAAGACAAGTTTATTACTGAGGGAACTTGTATGCAGCCACCCACTGATTACTGAGACACATTGAAACACTTTTTATTTGGAATACATCTGTGTACGTATAAACGGAGCCCTAGTAGTAACATTATCTGACTGACCCTCATATACTTTTAACGAGAGGATGCAGGCCAATGAAAGCACTGGCTCAGGAGGTAAAAAGGCTGGAATGATGCAGAAGTCATTATTATTCCTGCACAGCTGAGAGAGGATCCCGGAGTGATATAAGCAGTTAAGTGCTTAACTCCTAGTTATAAGGTTGCAGGTTTGAACCCACCTAGGGGCTTCTTAAAAACACAGGCCTGGAACTCTGCTTCCGAAGGGTCACAGCCTTGAAAACCCTAAAGGAGCAGTTTTGGTTTGCACATACGTAATCTCTATTAGTTGGATTCAACTAACAACAGACTAGTAAATAGAGTCAAGCATCAAGTTTAACAGAAGCTTCGTCACGTGTTCTGTGACTCACTCGTTTGGAGTTAGGCACTGATGGACAGTTTTATGTTTTTGTTTTTTGCTTTGGTCATTCTAGCCTTTCTGATAGTCGGAATTTTGATTAGATTCTTTTAACCAAACTCTGATACACCGGTAGTTCCTGACTCATGACATATGCAATTAGTACAAACCACACATAACACTGTTTTTTTGGTCTTACATAACATGCAAATAACTGGAGAAGCAAGAAGTGCCAATGTTGAATTTCAGCTATAAGTTTATATGTAATGTTTCCAACCCCTAAAGGCAAATAAAGATTGGATTTATAAAGATATTGATGTTAAAAGGCAATAATGATGAAAACTTAAAACAATAATTAAAAGGGTATTTGACTTACATCAGAACTGGTTTATGGCAGAGTCGTCAGAATGCAGCCCTATTGTAAGTCGGGGATTACCTATACAGCAATGTGGTATGTGGGAGGAAACGTGTGAAAATGTTAGAATTCATCCCAGAATTCTAAGGAAACTTTCCTTCTACAAATATTTACCACATTGGCAATAGCTTTGAAATTGGAAAACTAATATCTGTAACAGCCATACACACTTGGGATATGAGCACTGTGGGCTTTTACAGCTGTAGATTTTTCTCAAAAAAGTTTCAAGATGGAAGAAACAGGTTGAACCACAGAAGACTAAGGGACAAGAGAAAAGCTGACCCGATGCCTAGAAATAATTGTACTTGTTGGACAATGTAAAACATAGAGGGTCTTTTAGCGAAGTCCTTTTTTTGGCACATGCCTTCCAAACAGCAAATCCCTGGAAAGTAAAAAGCTCACACCTTGAAGTATGGTTTCTCTTGGTTTATGATTGTTGACGGGTCCAGTGTCAGAAGCCAAATGCATGTGATTTTTATGTCCCTTGTGAAAGACAGTTTTACTTTCTGGCCATCTTCGTTCTGAGAAAGAGAAAAAAAGGAACACTTGTTTACCAAATAGAAATGATCTACTTCTTGTTCCAGCTCAGGTAATCTTAAATGCAACTACTATTAGGAAATTATCCCTTGTAAATAGCATGTTCTATCCCTGGACGTTCAGGCTCACACAAGTCTGCAAGGTCATATGGATATGGAAGTGTGGAATGTTAGTGACAGTGACTAACTGTGCCAATACATGGCATCGTTGTGTGTTTCCAGGGCTTAAAGTTGACCGAGTAGTATGGGAAAAATATAGTCACCAGAATCCCAAAAGGAATTTATATTCACCAGAATTCCAAAAGGAAGCAGATTGGTCTGATAGAGCTCCTACCCATTTGACCTAGCTTCAATGGCTGGATGAACAGAACGCAACTAGAGGAAGAAAGAAGAGGAAAAAAAGTATAATCTGCTACAGTTTGATGAACTTGACCTATATTTATGGATGTAGTAGCTTAAAAGAGGGAACAAATCTTTACAGCAAGGATCATTCCCGCCCCCTCTGTATACAGGGTTGACAGGGATAGGCAATTTAGACATTGGCTACCCAAAATGGGGTATGGGGAGCAACAAAGGCATGAAGTGACTGACTAACAAGTTTTCAAGGGGGAGTTTAGTTTCAGAGGGTGCAGGGGAAGGTAGAATCCCACTGAGTGGTTTCTAACCTGTCTATATGGGACTGGTGAAAGGAGATGGGGATAAGACTCTTGTGATTCAATACTGAATAATTGCTATCAGGACTGACTGTGAATGTTGCAAATATAAAGGTAGACATTTTGCAACAAAAGGAGGGGAGTAGTTGATCTTGCAGTCCAGGAGCGGAGGACCCTGGGACCATCAAGGGAGAAAAGTGGAGTATAGGACCCTAACCAGAGAAGCAGCGATGCCAGAGATGAAGGCAGAGAAGATGATTCGGAGAGATGGAGCCACTGGGGACTATAGACTCGAGGAGGGAGAGGGGCTGTGTGCTGGTGCCTGAGGGGCTGGCGTGCAGGGTATACCTTTGGTTGTTTGAATGGTTACATATTCCTGAGTGCTTCAGTGTATGTTGTTGTTGTTATGTGCTGTGGAGTTGGTTCCGACTCATAGCGACCCTGTATAGGGTTTCCAAGGCTGTAAATCTTTACAGGGGCAGAAACCCTCATCTTTCTCCCACGGAAAAGCTGGTAGTTTCGAACTGCTGACTGTGAGAACCAGCCTGATTCGTAAGCACTACGCTACCAGAGCTTCAGCGTATATCACTCCCTCCCCCCACCCTCCCACCAAAAAAAAAAAAAAAAAAACCAACCCAGAAGGATTGGAAGCAAATGCTATTGAATGATGATGCATGGAGGGGATTGTAATCATTGCACTGAAACGAAATACAATAGGATGAGTGTAAAGCTGATGCTCTCCCATGTAAACTATCACTCAAGTTGAATGACGATGAAGGAATGCTGTGTATTGTGTGATATGAGATATTCTTGATTCCTCAGTGAAATCACCAAATTCATGGGTTGCTTGACTGAAGAAGACTTCTTTTTTTCCTTTCAAACTTTTAATTTGAATTGAGTGAAGTTTGCAGAAAAGACCATCAGTTTTTTACATTCAACAAATCATACACTTTGTTTCATCTCAATAATTGTCATCCTTTCATGGAACAACAGTCACCCCGCTTTCTCCCTGTGGCTCCTGTTTCCATCCCAGCCACCTTTCCATCCCTTCTCACCTTAGTCCTTAGGTACATGTTGCCCCTTTGATTTTGAATGATTGACCAGGCCATCATTCATAGTGAGTATATCTTACTACTGATGTTGTTCTCCTATATACCTCTCTACTGCTTGGCTGAAAGTTGGACCATGAGGGGGAGGTCCTTTCCAGGACTGAAGGGTGGCTGAGAGCCATAGTCTCAGGTCCCTCCTGTCTCCTTCTGCTGCTCTGTCCGTGATCCCTTTCAGAGCAGTTGGTAGTGGTGGCTGGGCACCAGCTAGTTCTGGCCTCACCGCTGTTGTGGAGACTGATGTTCAACAGACTAACCCATCCAATAGACGAATAGATTCCAAGTCTCCTCAATTCTCAACACTCTTCTTTGTTCTGCACATGGAGGGACCAATAGCTGCATTTTAGATGGTGCTCATGGGTTTTTCATGAAGGGACTTCTTAAAAAGGAGATATGCAGAGAAAACTGAGAAAGCCATGAAGATTCATGAGTGGAGGTGGAGATAAGTCAGAAATAAGGAAGTACTCAAGAATCGGACCAGCTGTGGTCTAGCCAGCCTGTTGGAACTCTTCTGTCGTGAGAGCTACAAGATCTCAGAGGCACGCTGCAAAGAGTCTCTTGGAGAGTCACACTGTGTCTTTCTGATCGATACTGAGAGTCCAGAAGGGGTTGTGTGAAGAACACCGGGAGAAGAGACGACATATTTGGATCCAAGGAGCCCCGGTGGCACAATGGTTTAAGTGCTAGGGTGCTAACGGATTGGTTGGCAGTTCAAACCCACACAGCCACTCCATAGGGAAAAGAACTTGCAATCTGCTGCCATAAGGTTAAAGTTTAGAAAATCCTATGGAGCAGTTCTACTTTGTCACATGGGGTCATTATGAGTTAACAGTCAGCTCCATGGCACCCAATAACAACAATAAGCCCAAATTCCCTATGAGTGTCGGTTTCCCTCATTTACACAATGGGATATAAATCACTGCCCACAGAGCTATGCTGTTGTAAGGATCCAAAGAGGGTGTGGCACTGCAGGATAATGCACTGGACTGCATGGTCAGTTTGAGCCAAAAGGTTGGTGGTTCAAACCCACCAGTCACTCCTCAGAAACCTTATACAGGGTTGCTATGAGTCGGAACCAACTTGATGGCACTTAACAACAATAACAAATGTTCTGTGCACAACTATTCCAACTCCCTGCCTTGGCACCTTTATGTCTCTGTGCTCCTTGAACTGACAAGAAGTATGGAGTTAGTTTTTCCTCATTTTCTCCTATTGGTTCAGAAGTAACCTCTATAATCTCATGCTAGGTCTGCCAACGATTTGACTTCATTCATTCATGAAGTATGTTTTTAATACACCTGTTAGGTGCTGGGGACACAGAGGGAAATGTTCCATGCTCCTTGACCTCCCTCGGACTGAACTCTCCCTTGGTTCCAACCTCTGGTAGGAAAAAGGGTTAGTATATATAGAATCCTGGAACTCCCGCAACTTAAAGCCCATTTTGATGATAAGAGCTCAGTGAGTTCTAGATATCATCCGATCATGTAAGAGAAACGAGCTTAAGATCCTGTGCCAGGAAGGGCATATTAATGACCATTTCCAAACAACAATACTGACCCCAGTGCAGATCGTTTTAAGACTCAAAAGATAAGTATTTATTGCACACCTAGTGGGAAAAAGATAAGGCTTTCTGCTCCCGTAAAGATTTACAGCCTTGGAAACCCTGTGTAGGGTCGTTATGAGTTGGAACCGACTCCACGGCACATAACAACAACAAGTGTGTGTCAAACATGGTTTCTACCTTTGAGGAAGTCACAGTTTAAATGAGGAGACAGAACCAAATGCAAGCACTGTGCAACCAAGTGGTGAGCTCAAAGGAAAGGAAGTAGAGGTCAGACGGAATCAGAGGAGGGCTCACAAAGCAGAAGGATAGGAGGGGCTGGGAGAATGGTACGGAATGCAGGGAAGGACATTTTTCCCCCTCAGAGAGAAGTATGTCTGGAAACCTCCAAGAAGGAAGGAGTGTGATTTGTGTGTATGTGTGCGCTGTCTGTTGTGTGTGCACTTGAGAGAGTGTGTGTGTGTGCATTGAATGACAGGGCAGGAAACTATTTTGACTGGAACACAACTCAGTGCTAGCTCCGAATGTGGGCCAGGAGTTAAGCAAATGTAGAGGCAGAAAATGAAGCATCTTAAAATCTAGGCAGAGAATATCCCAATGTAGGTTCTTTGCTGAAGAGTGGTGTCAAGAAAGTGTGAACCCACTAAGAGTAGAACCACTCTAAAGACAGAGCATGAATATTGAGTGCAAGTGAGTTAGGGTAGCAATCCCTAGAACCAAGCCTTTATTCTTTGATTCCAGAACAAAACTGTGGCGTCTTTTGTACATATTATAGGAAGCACTTGAGGAACAAGGAGAATTTGGCACTTACCCAGTAAGTGAAGTACAGATGTTGCCGTGGCCTTCCCAAGAGCATTGGAGGCTGTGCAGACATAGGGTCCTTCATTTTCAAGGGAAATATTCTGCAACAACAGGGATCCATTGAAAAGCAAGGAAACATTGTCACTCAGAGATCCTCCTCTCTTCAACCAAGTTATACTGGGCTGAGGGACACCTTGGGAGCAAAAACAAATACGATAAAGGCAATTCCTTTAAGAACAGGGCCACAGAACTATGTGACAAACATCATTTAGCGTTTTGGCCACGAGTCAGCAAGTGTTTTAAACCACAAATAATAGGAAACAATGGTTATTTCGATCCCTACAATTTTGGCAGATGGGGGAATCCTGTTAAAGCAAAGGAATTTGGTCTTCTGAGCACTTGACTGATCGATGTTTCTAAGTTAAGGAATAGAGGTCAAAGAGAGCACGGTGGTATCACAGGGGTTGAGAGAGAGATTTGAAGTTTGGTGGGAGAATGGCTAGAAAGGTTGGTGGAGCAGGGGACCAACAGTGTCAGGGAGAGAAAGAAATTTCTGAGTGGTGGGTGGTCCAAAGCAAAGAAGGCTTTGGAAAACAAAAACATGAAACTTGTAGTTGTTTCCTGTGCATATGCAATGAAGTGTTCCTCCTTCAGGGAGAATATTAATTTGTTCACGAATGGTTTTTGTAAGAGAAGACAATTTCAGGGAACTAAGAGGAGGACTGAAGTTTAAGACGGGGCTGATGTGGTGAGGTGCAGGGACTGTAAGCAACATTGCAGAAGCCTGGACTCAGGAGGGAAAAGGGGGTTTCATTTCAGCCCCCAATTCAGGAGAGGTCTTAGCTGGACAGTGGGATTGTGGGATTGAGAGTCAGAGGGATCTCATTTGGCTCTTAAGAGCTCACGTGGTCCCAGATGATGCCTGAGGTTGTGCTAAGTAACTGGTCTGAAGATGCCCTCTCCTCCGGTGGAGCCTTGTTAGAATGCAGAAGACATGGCGTGGCTTTCTGATGAAAACAGATGTGGTCACTATTGTCATGACAAGTGCACCTTAACTAGAACGAGATGCCACAGAGGTGACCCTGACTCTTGGCACCCTCATGGGTGTCAGACTAGGAGTATGCTCCATAATGTTTTCAGTGGTTGATTTTTCAAATAGATCACCAGACTTACAAGCCCACCTCTGGGTGACTCCAAACTACAAGTTTTCAGTGAACAGCTGCACATTAACCCCCCTAGGATCCCACAGATGCACCTGAAAAATTCATGCTCCATACACATGGTGACACTTTGACACCAATGAAATTTGCTCCAGAATCTATTTCTTAAACCACAAGGTGGGAAAGTCTTGTACATTCTGGGGTGGTGCTGTGGGTTAATGCACTGGACTGCAAGGTCAGATTAAATTGCAAGGTTGGCAGTTCAAACTCACCAGTTGCTACTAGGAAACCCTATACAGGGTTGATATGAGCCAGAAGCAACTCGACAGCACTTAACAACAAGGAGCATCTTATATGCCTTGGTGATGTGATGGTTAAAGTGCTCAGCTGCTGGGATCTACCAACTGGCAAAAGATGAGGCACTCAGTTTCCCTAAAGAGTAAGAGCCTTGGAAGCCCAGGGAGCAGTTGTCTCCATGCTACATGGTCACCATGAGTTGGAATTTGGCTCAATGGCAATGGGTTTGGTTTTCAGTAGCTTAGGCATTTTATTATAATAG